CCCCAAAACCCCAAAACCCCAAAACCCCAAAACCCCTTTTAGATTATCAAAAATTGAAATGGAATACCTTCTAGAATGCTTACGAAATGAACTTATCAGCTTGTTCCTGCAAAATTTTGGCTGATGATTTAGCATCGAAGAAGAGGCTATTAACCTCATCAATGTCTTCCTTATTGATCTTCTCTCTTCCATCTGTCTCAGCAAGAATGTTTGAAGGAGAGATAAGCTGAACAGCATATCTGAGGGAGGTCTTTGTTCCAATTGCAGCAAGATGAGCTAATGCGTCCTCTTCAATTTCAATACTCTCAGTTGAGCATCTGATGGACAAAATTTGTACAATTTCATTTACAGAGTAAGGGAGAGTTTTAATAATGAGAAGACGATCAAGAAGATCAACTGGGATTCCATGAGGGCTCTTCATCTCAGTTCCTCTAATTGTACATTTACCTCTGTTTGTAGCGAAGATAACAATTGGGGCCAGATTACTTTCCAAAGCTCTGTTCAGATATGTAAAACATTCAATATCAAGCATGTGAACCTCATCAATAAATAAGACTCCTGGAACAAGCTCAGCAATTCCATGATCAATATACTTGTTAACCACTTTATTGATCTCAATTCTTAATTTCTCTGTGATTTCTGTCTTCTTTTGTCTATTTACTTGATTCATCAGTGAGAAGAAGTCTTGCCCGCCCTGTGGTTTAGCATTGGCTACATCCAAATCGTGTAGTGTGACATCTTGCACAACTTCTTTCTTTTTGTGAACATCTCCTTTTGGAATTGGGACATACTCTTCAGCTTCAAGGTCGTACTCAGCAGCGTAAGCATCACTTCTTCCAACCCTTTTGACTGCTCCTGAAGTAGCTTCAATATAAATAACATCGCCGACGGTGATCTTTTCTTTTTGCATATTCTCATAAACACTTGGATCCAATCTGAGTTGTTTTGATCCCTTTGTAGTCTTGAGACTCAGGATGACTCCTTCCACAACTTTGCCATAGCCATCATGAGGATCTTCCTTTTCTTCAGGAGTGATCTCTGTGACTTCTCCTTCCCATACTTCTTTGGTCTCTTTGATCCTGATTCCAATTGCTCTTCTAAAGTTCTCCATTAATATCTCGGTTTTCTTGACTTCAGAACTATAGACTTCAGAACCGACCATTGGGCAGAATGGGACTTGGGATCCAATCTCTTGGGCGATTGCCAAAGCGATGGCAGTCTTACCGGTGCCTGGAGCACCTGCAAAGAGCAAGGCTTTACCTGCCATCTTTTTTGATTTGATCAAATCCACGACGATTCCTCCTGCTTCTCTTGCTTTCTCTTGACCACAAAGACCATGGGAGATTTCCTTGGCAGTGAAGTCATCATTCAAACCAAGACCTTTGATATGAGAATGAGTGGCTACTCTTTGTGTTCTAGTTGTACTCTTGACCTCTTCAATCTTCATTTTTGTCGATAGAGAAAATTCAAATTTTATTATGAGTTGCGGGGTTTTGGGGTTTTGGGGTTTTGGGGTTTTGGGG